AAAAAAAAATATTGAGGAAAATAAGAAATGAGAGATGAAGTGGAAGGATGGAGGGGGTGAGGGAGGGACGACATTTGCCCAGTCTCATGCGTGAGTGGGATGCTGTCGTTGTCAATGACTCTCTCGCCTCTTGTTTCCTACTTCTTTCTGAACATGTGCTACTTTCCGATTCTCCTTACTTTCTCTCCAGAGTTGTCTCTTCGGCATTCCTGGGGTGCTGTTCCCGTGTTTTTTTACCCTCACCATTCCCCTTTCCCTTTCTTCTGGCTCTCTCTCTCTCTCTCTGCCTGTGTGGTATTGGTGGTGTAGTGAAGAAGGAGAGATTGGGTGTGGCCCACCGAGAGGCACCCGCGACATGAAGCCGTACCCCAGCCAGCAGGAAGCCGCCGTGCATCTGGTCGGATCACCCGCGCAGCGCGTCGGCGCACAGGTGCGGCCCCACGACTACAGCACGTTTGACGTCTTGGTCCCACCATCTCTTGCTCCGGCGGCTGTTTCCCCGGGGACAGCGCGGCTCAGTGAAACATCGCCGCCGCGAGCACAAGTGGCGTCTCGGAACAACAACAACNGCAGCAGCATCAACAAGAACCAAAGTGATCCGCTCGTCTCCCCGACTCATCTTGGCGGCGCGGTGATGGCGCTGACGGTACCGCCACCGCCGAATACGGTTGATGGTGCTGATGTTTCTCCCGCTCTTCTCGGCACGCGCGATCTCCAGCGTGGCTTACTGGAGCAGAAGCTACAGCACGTGCAACGCGAGGCCAATGCGGTGCAGGAGGAGTTGAAAGAGACGGGTGCGCGTCTTTCCCACGTCACCGTGAAGCTTAACGAACAGAAGGTGGAGTTCAGTGCCTTGACGCACCGCTACGGCGCAGCAGTGGAAAAATTGACTGCTGCGGAGGGAAGTGTGAAGCGGCTTGAGGAACAGCTCGTGTACGAGCGCAAGCAGCATAGCGCTGTGCGGGAAGAGCGCGACGGCCTCAAGGCATCGCTGCGCGAGCTGGAGTGGGAGGTGACAAAGCTGTGCCGCGAGCTGCAGGAGGAGCGCGAGCGCCCGTCGATGGACCCGCGCGAGGTGGAGCGAATGCTTCACGACCGTAGCCGCTTTGTCCCTGCGGCAGAGGTGCAGCGGCGCTGCGACGAGATGCGGGACGCGCAGCAGTCCCTTGCCCTGCGTGTCGCCTCCGCCCTCGANGCACTGCTGCTGGCGCACGAGGAGGACGAGACGGCAGTGTTTGTCGCGCGCAGTGCGGTGCTCTCGGCGGCGACGGATCTCGAGGCGAAGGTGGCTGCCACTGAGGCGACGCTTGCCGCGCTTCACGACCAGATGACGCTCTTTAACGAGGGCACTGAGCGCGACATGACAGAGATGATCAGTGCCCTCATTGTGGAGAACAAGGAGTTATGGCAGCACCTCTCCAAGCTGAAGGGCGACCACGATGCTGCAGCCGCGCAGGTGGCCGCTCTTCGCCGCAAGGGGGAGTACATCCCGCGCGACCAATATGAGTACACACAAAAACAGCTTACGCTAACCGTGGAGAGGCTCGCCGCCGCGCAGAAGACTGTCGAGGAACAAATCGAGGTGGCAAGGGAGCACGAGGAGCAGATGAAGGCTGTGATTGGCAATAACGAGTCATTGCATGATGAGGTAGTCCGCCTCGCACAACAGCTGGCGCAAGTGCAGGAGAAGGTGGGGAAGAGGGAGCAGCAGCTGGAGGAGGCAAAGACGGCGGCTAAGGAAACCCAGCGGTGCTTAGATGACTCACAGGGTTTGCTAGAGAGTGAGCGGCGCCGCATGAACAACACAGTGCAGCAGCTCAACGAGAACTTCACCACCATGGAGAAGGAATACGAGCAGCGGATACGTCACCTTAATTCGGAACGGGATGCGGCGCGAGAGGATGTGGATCGGATGCGCCGCGAATTGGGTGATGCACAGGAACAGGTAGAATCTCTCCAGCGTGACCTTGCTGCCCGCACCAGCTACTTCGAAAACTACAGGCAACAGGCGGAGGACCACCAGCAACAGGTGAGTCGCTCCCTGCAGGAGGAAATGGCCAGCACACGCGAGCTGCTTGAGCACGAGTTAGGCCTCGTGCGGCGGGAGTTGGAGGAGCAACGCACCTCCGTACGGGAAGCGGAGCGGGAGCGCGATGACGAGCGTGCGGAACGCCGCGCGGCGCAGGCTGTCGCAACAGGGTTAGAAGCAGAGGTGATGCAACAGCGTCGCGAGAATGAACAGCTGCAGCGTTGTATGGAGGAAATTACAGCGCGGCTTCAGCAGTTGGAGGCGGAGGCGGACCAGTTGCGGCAACGGCGCGATGACGTTGGGGAGGATGCGCGGCAACTGCAGTGTGAGTTGCGGCGACTCCAGGGGAGGGGGAAGGAACTCGAGCAACAACTGCAAGAGGAGCGCGAGACACACATGCAGCTGTCAACGCAGCTCCGGCAGGAAATACGGGATATAGAGCGGAGCCGTGCTTCGCTACAAGAGGAGCTGAAGAAGGTGCGCATTCGCATAGCGGAGGTTGAGCAGCAGAAGTCTGTGTCCCGCAGTGATGCCGATAAGGAGAATTTGATGCGCGAGAATGTGCGGCTGCACGAGCAGTACCAAGAGGTGCAGCAGGAAAACGTTACACTGCGCGAAGGTCTGCAACAGCTGCGGGCGAAGAATCTCAGCTGCGAGCAGCTCTCGCAGCAGCTTGATGACGTGCAGGAGCGGTTACGGCAGCTGCCGACGCTGCGACAGGCCGCGGAGGATGCCAAGCGCGACGCGATGCGCGCGACAGAGGAGGTGGAGGCGCTGCGGCAGGAGCGTGACGCCATGGCGGCGAAATTAGATTTCTTCCTTGAGGAGAGTAAGCAGGCGGCGAAGAAGGACGAGGCGTGGGATCGCGTCTTCCGTGACGCGGTGGAGCAGGCGAGGCGCCTCGGTGGGCAAGTGTCGGTGGCGAAGCAGCAACAGCAACAGCAGCGAAGCGCGCCGGTCTACGCCACCGCCCACGCGACCGGCTATAGTGATCAGTACAGCAACTACCAGCGTGTCCTTGGCAACAGCAGCATCGCTAGTGGTGGTGACGGCATTGCGCCGCGCAAGCTGCCGTCCCCGTCACGGTCTGCAGTGGACGCGTCGCCGCAGCCCAGCGCCCCAGCACTGCACCGCCCGTGGCGTTGATCCGCATGCAGGTACGCATATTTGCACCTTGACAACGTGTACTACTCTTTGGCGGTTCAACCGTATTTTTGTGTTTATTCCGTTTCATTCTTGGAATGACTGTATTGTTCGTGTGTAATGCAAAGTGACAGAAGAAGAAGAAGAGAAAAAGAGGGAGAGAGACTGTATGAAAGAAGCAACTACTCTCCATTCCATGTGCCATCCTTTCCTTGCTTCTATCTGCTCTGTTTAGAAAAGGGCATGCGGGAATCGCTAGAGGAGGGCGGTGCGATCGTCAGGGAGCTCTTCGACGTTTCGATGTGCTCATTTTTCTTCTTCTTTGCCTCTGCTCCTTGTTTGCAGTATGGCAGCTGTTGCTGTTGTTGTTCCCTCAACTGTTTGTGAAACGGCCTTGGCTTCTATTTCTCAACTTCTCTTTCTACCCACACACATGTATTTATATAAATGCGCACTTGATACAACAAGAGGTTTATTACGAACAGTAAGAAGAGAAAAAAAGAGAACGAGAGGGGGAAAGGAAACGACAAAGAGCCATCATGTCTGTTTTCGGGGTAGACTTCGGCAACCTAAACTCCACTGTCGCCATCACGCGTCAGGGTGGTGTTGACATCGTGACAAATGAAGTGAGTAAGCGTGAGACGACCACTATGGTCTCCTTCGTTGACAACGAGCGCTTCATTGGCGAGCAGGGTGTCGACCGCTACGTGCGCAACTCGCAGAACACTGTCTTCTTGCTGAAGCGCTTCATTGGTATGCGCATGAATGACCCTAACCTCAACGCGGAGCGACGGTTCCTGACGTGTGAGATCAAGGGCGATGAAACGGGCCGGCTCATGTTCGGTGTGAACTACTGCGGCAACATGGCGTACTTCTACCCGGAACAGGTGCTGGCGATGCTGCTGCAGCGGCTCCGCACGTACGTGAATGTGGCGGCGACGACAGACCCGCGGATGCCGGCGGACACCCGTGACTGTGTGCTAACGGTGCCGTGCTACTACACAGCGGAGCAGCGACGTCTCTTGCTACAGGCCTGTGAGATCGCTGGACTGCACTGCCTGTCGCTCATCAACGACACCACGGCGGCTGGCATCGACTACGGCATCTTCCGTGGTGCGTCGCTGGGCGAAACGGAGGAGGAGGGGCAGGTTGTCGGGATCCTCGACATCGGCTACGGCACCACCGTCTTTGCCATCGCCAAGTTCTGGCGTGGCCACCTCAAGGTGCTCAGCCGCACATTCGACCGCCATCTTGGTACGCGCGACATCGACTACAAGCTCTTCAAGTACATGGTAGAGGAGGTGAAGAAGAAGTACCATGTGGATGTCACCACCAACAAGCGGGCGAGCCTGCGTCTCTTGCAGGCGTGTGAGCGTCTCAAGTATCTGCTCTCTGGCAACCAGGTGGCGCAGCTGCAAATCGAGAACCTTATGGACGTAGACGTCAGCATCCCCTCGTTCCAGAGGGGTACGATGGAGGAGCTCGCGGCCGACGTTGGCGAGCGCTTCAAGGCGGTGCTTAAGAGAGGTTTCGAGGAGAGTGGGGTGTCGCCGCAGAAATTCCACAGCGTTGAGATGATTGGCGGTGGCTGCCGTATTCCTATGTTCAAGCGAACAGCAGAAGAGATGTTTGGTCGGACGCCAAACTTCACCCTCAACGCCTCGGAGACGGCCGCCCGTGGTGCTGCCATCACAGCCGCAGTTTTCTCACCCAAGTTCAGAGTGCGGGAGTTTATGGTGCACGACCTTCCAACATACCCGGTCAAGATCGGGTACTATATGGAGAACGCGCAAAGCCCCAGTTCCGTGCCGTTCCTACCGGACGTGAACAAGATTGTGACGGTTCTGGGTCCGAAGGATACCTTCCCCAAGGTGCTTGAGATCACCATTAAGCGCCCCGGTGGCTTCAAGTTGTACGCCTTCTACGACAACGAGAGCCCAATGGTGAAGGAGAACATGCCACTGGGGGATTACCTCATTGGAGAGTGGGAGATCGGCACACCGCACAAGGATTCCCACCCGACGGAGGTGCGCGTGCGTGTGCGCCTGCACGCCAATGGTCTCATCGCTGTGGACTCCGCCGTCTCTGTTGAAATGTATGAAGTGGATGAGCCGGCCGCCGAGGAGGAGGAGGACAAGAAGAAAGGCAAGGATGATAACAGCAAGAACGCCTCCGGCGACGCCGCAGCGGGTAAGGAGGCTGCTGGAGAAAAGAAGGCGGTTGAGAAGGTGATGGTAAAGAAGCAAAAGCAGCGGCGTGTGGAGCTCACCGTCACTCCCCGCCTCGATGTGGTCGGTCTCCCTGGAGAGACGGTGCTGGAGTTTCAGAAGCGGGAAACGGAAATGAATGAGCGCGACATGTTGCTCACCAAGACACGTGACAGCAAGAATGAGCTGGAGAGCTACATCCTCGACTATCGCCCCCGCATCGCTGACGGCGGCCTGCTCGCACAGTACGTGACCAAGGAGCAGCAGCAGCAGTTCATCCAGCTGAGCAATGAGTATGAGAACTGGCTCTACGAGGATGGTTCCGACGCAGAGCTTGGCGCGTACCAGGATCGTGTCCAAAAGCTTCGACGGATCGGCGATGGGGCTAACGCGCGCCGCCTGAACTATGAGGACGTTGAGTTTGCGCTGACAGCGTTCAAGAATGACATGTCCAAGGCGCGGGAGTCGGCGCTGCAAGCTATTGGCAAGTCGGAGCACATCACTGAGGAGGAGCTGCGAGCCGCTGCTGCTACATGTGACGAAGCGCTGGCGTGGGCCGAGGAGGAGTTGGCAAAGTACCTCCAGCAACCCAAGACGGCTGAGCCGAGCTTGACGCGCAATATTTTGCAGGCGAAGCTGCACAGCATCACGGAGGGTGTGCGCACTGTCGTGCAGCGTCCTGCCCCGCCGAAGCCGAAGGAGAAGAAAGAGAAGGAAGCGGCCAGCAGCAACGAAGAGGCGGCGGCAGATGCAAAAGCGCCGAAGGCTCCGCAGTACTCCAACGAGAACGAGGAGGCGCCAATGAGCGGTGACCAGCTCGACTAGGCAGTGTGGCGTGCTTCAGCCACGTGCGTATGGAAGAGACTGCGTGAGTGGGGGGCACACGTGTGCGTGAGACCCCCTCCCGCCATTATTATTATTATTACTATTATTATTATTTTAAATGCTGAAGAGAAATGAGGACCAGGAGCGCTAAAAATTTTGGGAAAAAAGAGCACGATAAAACGAATAGGGAAAGTTTTTTTTTCTGATTTTTCTATTTTACGTGTGTCTTTGGTTTCTCTTTCGCCAGCCGATTGTGGGCTGCTGCGTGTGTCGTATCGCAGCACCAATAACAGAAGCAGCAATACGCCTGCTTACGTGTTGGCTTCTTCCTCACTTTCTCTTGTTGCTCTCTCCTCTTCTATATCTGCACTAGGCGTAGAGAAGAATGCGGACATGCAGCACGGCCTGCCCTTGATGGCTTGCTGATTTTCCTCTCTCCTGTCCAGCGGCCACACACACACACACACACACAATCTGTACATGCAGATATAGACATAGCTCTGCTTACCCGTGCTCGCTCTCTCCCGCATGCACAGACGCACATCTCTCTGATTGTCTGCTTCTTTACGTTTTTCTGTGTAGTAGGAGAGAGTAAGATCGAAAGAAAAATAAACAGTGACAACAAAGCAGAACATAACTGAGAGAAAAGAAAAAAAGCCTATAAAGAAGCAAAAAAGAAAAGGGGAAACACAAGGAATACAATGTTCAAGTCTGCCAGCCGTGTTCTTTTGGCCACCAAGACCATTCCTCTTGAGCCACAGAAGCCGTTCAAGCTGCACACTGCCGGCCGCGACGACTTGCCGCCACTCCCCACCACCGCAACGTACGACCCAGAGCAAATGACGAAGAACCTCGAGATGATGTTCCGAATTCGTCGCGTAGAGTCGTTGTGCGATCAGTCATACAAGCTCAAGAAGATCCGCGGTTTCTGCCACCTTTACATTGGCCAGGAGGCCATCCCCGTTGGCATGGAGAACATCCTCACCTTCGACGACCCCATCGTGACCGGCTACCGTGACCACGGGTGGCTCCTCGTGCGCGGTGGTACCACGAAAGAGGTCTTCGCCGAGATTTTTGGCCGCGAGGGTGGTTGCTCGAAGGGCAAAGGCGGCAGCATGCATATGTACAACGTGAAGAACAATTTCTATGGCGGTAATGGTATCGTCGGTGCGCAGGTGCCACTCGGCGCCGGTCTCGCCTGGCGCTACGCCCTCGAAAACCGTGACAAGCCTTCCAACGTGGCGGCGGCGTTCTACGGTGATGGTGCGGCCAACCAGGGGCAGGTGTTCGAGGCTATGAATATTGCCGCGCTGCAGCGCATTCCCGTCATGTTTTGCTGTGAGAATAACCAGTTCGGTATGGGCACGAGCAAAGAGCGTGCGGCGTACCAGCCCGAGATGTATCGCCGTGGTGATTACATCCCTGGCTTGCGCATTGACGGCATGGACGTGCTCGCAGTGCAGGAGGGCACACGCTATGCAAAGAACTGGTGTCTCGCTGGTAAGGGACCTATCGTGCTTGAGTTCGACTCGTACCGTTACGTCGGCCACTCGATGAGCGACCCTGATAGCCAGTACCGCACCAAGAGCGACATCCAGGAGGTGCGCAAGACGCGCGACTGCATCCACAAGATGAAGGACTTTATGGCGCGGGAGGGTATCATGACAGAGGACGAGATGATAAAACTCGAGAAGGAAGTCAAGAAGGAGGTCGACAAGGAGTTGCAGCCGGCGGAGCGGCAGAAGCTGACGCCGCTTAGTGAGCTGTTTACCGACATCTACTCCGGAGAGCAGTACGAGCACCGCACCACGCAGGGCACCGTCTACGCCAAGCCTTGATCCTATGGACCTGCACGCAGAGACCAACACACACGCGTTCATGCATATATGCGCCTGACATTAGCAGCACCTGAAGGCGTAGCAGAAATATCAATATGAAGAGAAGAGTAATAGCAGATGAGGTGAGAAAGGGGTTTGGAGGCAGGTATAACACGGGCGATCCTTCGATGGTTGTTTTGAACATTGGTTCGGCGTTTTAACGCCCTCAGACGACTCTCTCTTACTATCCGAATGATAAGATCGAGGAAGACATCCTTGGGCTGCAAAAGATGAAACTGGGCACAGAAAGAAGAAAGCGACGGAATAGATAAATATTAACGCACACCCTTCTGATTGTCTCTTTGTGTCTTTGTTCCTCTCGGCAATTTGTGCGGGGGAAGTCCCCGCACGAATGAGACAAATCCCGGGAAACTGAAAAAGATCTGACGGAAAGGCAAAAAGAACAGCAAAAAGAAAAGGAGGCAGAACGGGAAAAGGGGGAAAAGATATAAGGCGGTTTTCTGGTTTTGTGTGTACGTATATGTGCCGTCTCTGTCTTCTTGACATGGACACCCTGTGCGCATTTGTATCTGTGTGCGTGTGGGTGGCTACCTGTGTTTTCTGCATTTCTCTTGGTGTGGTGGAGTATGTGTCTATCCTCCTTTAATTGTTCTTTCTTTCTTTTACTTTCTCTTTGTGTTTGCCCCTCTTGTATATGGAGACGAAAGGAAGTAGGTGGAATCCGCTGTAGTCATATTTATAGGGGAGGATGCGGCGGCACCTATTCGCGGCCAGAGTCTCCACAGCGGTCTGCTGTGCGCCTTCGTCGTCGTCGTCTCTGTTACTGATGCCAACAACAGTGGTGGTGGTGGTGGTGGTGGCGCGCAGGTTTCAGCGCAGCGCCCCGGGGCGAGTGCGTCTGCAGAAGGAGGGGCTGCAATCTTCGACTGCATCTTCTACTTCATCGTCGTCCGGCACGGCCTCTACGCTGCAGCAGCAGCAGCGTGACACCGGCACGAGGGTGTTTCTCAACACAACGGGGATGCCAGTGGGTGGTGTGGAGGAGGGCCGCCGAGGGTTCCTCGGCTTTGGACGCCGTGCAGGGCGCGCTATGCCGCTGAACCCACTCTTAGCTCTGCGCCCGAAGAACGAGGAGCCTGATGAGGACCGCATTACCGCTCGCTTTCTGCAGGCGGTGCAGCAACTAAACGGCAAGCGGCGCAGACGCAACGAGAGCTTGACGCTGCAACTAACAGAGGAGCAGCGGCATGACATTGTCAACCGCTACGCACAGACGCGCTGGTATGGCTTCTTGTGGCGCCCTGCCCGAAACGTGACGGAGCGGCAGTTCAAGTGGTGGCGCCGCTTCGCCCACCTTGCCCTCCTTGTGGTGGTGCTCTTCGGTTTGGGCACTGCGCTGCTACTGTACTACCGTGAGGTGGAGACGGTGCTGCAGCTGAGTCCCGAGGATCGCCGTGATTACCAGCACATAGTAACTGGCATGCGTTTCAGTGAAATCTACAACCTTGCGATGGAGGTGCTGCGCAAGGAGGACCCGCTCGAGGCGCTGCCGATGCCGGCGCGTTATCATCTGCTGCTGGAAGCGGCGCGAGCGCGCGGGTGGCACACAATGGACTGGGAGCTCGA